GATGACGTATATAAAAGAGGAATGCACCAACAAGACTAGCTAACTTCCACATGCATAGCCCACCCCAAAAGAAATAAGTCAAGAAAATTTGAGGACAATAAAATTCATAATAAATGTGACGCATATTTTAGTCACACAGATTAGAAGCAAAACTCGATTTCTATCAATCAGAAGAACAGGCAGGATTTCGAGCGGGACACGGAACAAACGACCATTTGCAATGCCTTAAAGCTCTAGTTGAAAAGTCTATCGAATCTAACAGACCCCTTGCTCTTATCTTTGTCGACTTCCACAAAGCATTTGACACAGTCGAAACAGTTGCTTTCTTAAAAGCATTACAAGAATGCAGAATAGATCACAGGTATGCAAATATTATTCGAAATATATACGAAAATGCGACAACAACCGGTAACCTCCATTGCATGACTGAGAAGATAAAAATTGGCGGAGGGGTACGGCAGGGAGATGCCTTGTCGCCAAAACTATTTATAACAGTTATGGAGTACGCATTTAAACGGCTAGAGCGGAATAAAAGGGTATTAGCATCGATGGAAAGATATTCAATCATCTCAGATATGCCGATGATATTGTTCTCATAACAGACAATTTAGGAGAAGCCAGAGTTATGCTACAAGAACTACAGCAAGTAACCCAGAAAGTCGGTTTAAGAATAAACTATGGAAAAACAAAAATGATGACCAATCTCGTCCCCAATGAGCTAGTAGAAATCGAAAAGTCGCCAATAGAACTTGTGGGAAAATGGAACGTGTGTATTTGGGTCACGAAATAAGGTTAACGCGAGATAACCAAACATGCGAGCCACTCAGAAGAATAAGTCTGCGTTGGGCTGCATTCGGAAAAATGAGAGACGTATTTAAAACAAATATACCGATCCATTTAAAAAGAAAAGCTTTTAACCAGTGCGTTCTACCAGTCCTCACATGCGGAGCAGAAACCTTAAATCTCACAAAAACATTAGCCGAAAAATTGAGAAGGGCACAACGAAAGATGGAGAGATCAATGCTTGGAATAAGCTTAAGAAATAGAGTAAGAAACGAGGAAGTTCGTAAGCGAACCGGAGTGGAAGACATTATCGAACATATTACAAGGCAAAAATGGAGATGGGCAGGACATGTTGCAAGAATAAAAGACGACAGCTGGACAAAAAAATTGCTTGAGTGGAGACCATGGGCTGACAAGCGAAGTCGAGGAAGACCTCCAACGCGATAGACCGAGGACCTCAAAAGAATCGTGACCAATTGGATAGCAGAGGCGCAGAACAGAAGCAGATGGAAAAGTCTAGAGGAGGCCTATGTTCAACAATGGACAACTCAGGGCTGATTGATGATGATGATGATATTTTAGTCTATCTCAATAGGATTTTCGAAAGGAAACAGGCACTAGAGAAGCAATTCTGGGGTTGACGCTGTTGGCAGCAAAATATTTGGAAGTGTAAACAAAACTTAACAGTTAATATGTTGATTACTGGAAGACATTCGACCATATAAAGCACGACAAAATGATTCAAATCCTACAAGAGTTCGCGTTCGTTGTACGGGACATAACTATTATCAGCAATATAAACTGAAATCATATTGGCTGCAAATGGCAACACCAACTATGTCGGCATAAAACGAGGAGTACGTGAAGAATGCCTCTTCTCTCCGCTTGTCTTTAACGTATATGCGGAACATATTATTAAGGAATCTCTATAGGAACGCCCAAAGTGTGCCAAAATTAACAGAATTATCATCAATAACCTAAGATATGCAGACGACAGTGTGGTACTGGCTGCATCGGAAGAATATCTACAGATACTATTGAATGTCCTCTTGGAATCGAGTGCCAGAATGGGACTAGAGATAAACTCCCCAAAAAACAAAACTCTAGTTTTTGACCGTGGAACCTACATGCAAAACAGCGTGAAAATAATTATCGACCATACTAACATCAAAAACCTTTACAGCTACATATATCAATGAAGAGAAATAAACAGATACACCAATAAAAAAAATTAGGAGACGCATTGAGATCGCTAGAATTTGTTAACATAAAAAATTTTCTATGCCATCCTAAATTGGCTATACAGGTAAGAGTTCGGACACTAAAGGGCTAAGTCTGGTCCTTACTGCTGTGTGTATGTGAAACGTGGACTAAGAAACAAGATTTTAAAAAAGCTGCAAACGTTTGTTAACTCAGTGTGGCACAAATCATGCGCCACACTGGATAGCTAAAATTAATCTTGAAGTGAAAGCTTCATCGGCTTTACTGCTCCGATAATTTAGTACTAATGCGTGATAACCTCCGAGTCTATACAGCAAGAACAGTGTTCCAGTACCTTGAATATGTCGTTACTGTAACACTTGAGAAACCAGCAAATAGTCCTGACCTAAATCCTATACAACATATATGAAACAAGAGGAAAAGAAATGTACGAGTACGAAATCCAGCTCTTAACTCAATTGTTAAAATTAAGACCTTCTGTACAGTAGAAATGGAATCAAATTGCTCAATAATTAATCCGCCAATTAATAGTTAACATGCTTAGGAAGATGTAGACTATTATTAGAGCTAGTGGGGGAATATTAAAGTGTAATGTTTTATTACCCACTAAATATTTAAGTCAAAACACAAGTTATTTTAATAATTCGTTCAAGAATGTGATAAGCTTTAATGTAGCTTATTATTAGTACTAGTAAAAACATCTGGTAAAGGGCCTTTTAGAGACAAAGAAATTTGGTGGTGGAATAAAATGAACAGAAGGTTAAAGAAAAGAAAGAGGCTAGAAAGAAGACAGCTCTAAAAGAGAGGAAGATAAGGATATATACAATGTAGCAAAGAGTGCAAAGCGTGCTGTAGCTACTACTAAGGAAAGATCGTTTGCACAGCTGTAGCTACTACTAAGGAAAAATCAACTGCACAGCTGTATGAAGAGTTGGAAACACCCGAGTGGATGAAAAGGTTATACACTAATGCTCAAGCAACGGACAACACTTCAAAGGACATGACCCACGTGCGGCAAATTAGAGTGCGAATGAAAGAGTGTTAAGATCATATGTTGAAATAAAGCAAAGATGGTATGAGTACTTTAGAAAGTTGTTTTAGATAGCGAGAGATAAGGTTGTTAAGTCGTTAAATAGGATGAAGAATGCTAAGGCAGTAGGGTCTGATGGAATACCTGTGGAGGTTTGGAAAGGCTCTAGTAGAGGAAGGGATTGATATTTTGTAGAAAATGATGAGTAGAATATATGAGAAAGAAAGGATGCCCAATGCATGGAGACAGATATGATGGTATCATTGTATACCGATAAAGGGGATATTCAGGACTGTAAAGGGATAAAGTTAGTGTTACACACAATGAAAATTAGAGAGACAACGATATGAGAAAAACAGTTTTGGTGAATGCCAGGGAGGAGGACAACGGGTGTCTTGTTTGCGTTGAGCCAGTTGGTAAAAAAATACGGCTAGGAGAAAAGAGAACTACATTTGGTATTTATAAAACTTGAGAAGGTATACAGTCCCTAGACAAGTAAAAAGAAATGGTATTGTAAAAAGTAAAAAAGTCTTTTTATTTTTACACCGCAACTCGTAAATGTTTACTACTAAAACCATGTATGTTAATTTTAAACGAGATATACTTATCTGTTATTGTCATATATATATATATATATATATATATATATATATATATATATATATATATATATATCAAAACAACTACCAAGGCAGACTTTGAGGATTAACACAGATACTTATATCTTTTATACTTAATATGTTTATTGCAAAAAAAACCTTATCAGATTTATATAATGACTAGTTAACTCGAATAATCTTACTTGATTATATGCTGATATGAAATAGTAAATAGATCATACTGATATTGGTATCCAAAAGGTATCGGCGTATTCTAATTTAATTCTCAGATCCATGTTAGATTTTAGACTACTCCGTTATTTATTTTTTTTGCTGGGTCTTGCTTAGATTTGAACAATATAACCACTAGACAATTCACGTCGAATGAGTGCTTTCACGAGCACCTCTATCGGACTGACATTTTAACAACCACTTAGTCGCATAATTTGCTAGTATTTTCACATACAACAGTTACTACTACTAACAGATCTGAAAGACTAAAAAAATCAATTCATTAGAAACTCGTTTGCATGTGACTGAAAATTGTATGTACAAAAAAAAACCAAAATAAACAACGTTTATTAATTGAATAACATTAATGCTCTACGCATTAAGTATTTATACAACATTATTGCAGAAACCAATTTAAACCAATTGTAAGTCTTTTTTTATGGCTTGTTGGCTTGGACACTTGGTCATTTAGTTATTCGCAATTGTAGATCATGATGAAACGTATGTGCATGCAAAATACACTATTTAGAACAGTTAGACAGACGACAGTGACAAGGAATCGTTCACAAATATTTAAAACGAACCAACCATATGGTTGGTTATCACAGATGAAGGTGGAGTAATGAGTTTCACACCTAATGTCCTTTTGATTTTTAATTCGCTTATATTTAAAAAATGAACCGGTTGATTATCGTATATGTTGGTGAAGCAATGAGTTTCACACCCAATTCTCAAATGATTTTTAAATCAGGTTCCAGAGTTTATCATAATGGTATGAATTCAGAAAATAGCACAATGTACAAACTAATAGATCACTCATCAATAATTATTAAAATTGAACATGACAATTAGTTGACGGAGAAAAATACACGATTTGTAACAATGTTTAAAACGCAACTGTATGAGTGATCAGATGGAACCAACAAAATTATATTCAATATAACTTTGATGAAGTATTTTCAGAAAATGAGTCTGTTTCTTCAAAACCTCCACTATATAATACACAATCCACTTGCTACAAAAATATTTTGGTGCAAATAAAATTAAAATTACAAACGAAAATGTTAATTTTAAGATAGAGGCGATTAAAGTGTTGGTCGAACAGGAATTTAACAAAGTTATTGTAGATTCGGATGCTAATTAATTTCGTAAATTATTTTAAACGTCCAAACAACAAAACTATGCAATATTTTTATATTATCAACAAAATATGAAAAGAATATCCAAACGTTTTCTTCTTGATAGTCTAAACTTCTTGTAGTCAACAGCAAAATTACAAAAGTCTAAGAAAACTGCCTAAATTGTTTTACACTATATTGGAATGGTGAACGGAAGTACCATTTTCCTTAATGTGCATAGATCTTAAGTACGTACTGTAGATAGACTGGAGTGGCACGTGGAGAAGTTCTACCACCTTCAGGTAGTCATTATCTACAACAAAAGTATAACAAGGTTAGTTCAGTTGCAAATTGTTTTTAATTATATTTTTGTCCAATAATAAAAATCAAAAAATGAATTTAGTGTGCTGAAATAAGAAGCTGGATACACTTAATGTTTTTATTCCTGAATCGAAATTCTTATATCCTCTTTGGTGTCTTCTTCAGGGCTCCGAGGTTTAAGTCTCCCGAGCCCCCAGACACTACTACACTGATCACTAAGCAATGAGTTACTGCCACTGGGAACAGAGGACAGTTCATCTTTACCGCTGATGATGACGTTTGTTGGGTAGAGGTTGGCGTGGGGGTTAGCGTAGGTATTGGCTCGGGGACAGTCGCGAATATTTCTGACAATAAGGTTTTGGCACAGACCTTCAAAGGTATTTATTGGATTATGGTGTTGAAGTGAGTACTTCAACTGTACGGAAAGGACTTCTGAAAGTTGAAAGCAAAGAAAAGAAAGAAAGAAAACCGAAGACCAACAATTTCACAGAAAAAAAAACACAGAAAAAGAAAAAAAGATTAGCACGACCAAAAAATACCGATCATGGACTGTTGACCGTGAACAGAAATAAAGTTTTGTTAGACGAAGTGAAGGTAAACCTCTGAGACGAGATGATATCCAACAGACTGTAAAATATCCTTCTAAACAGATATTTTTTGAAGTTTTTCATTACAAATGGCCCTCTAAGCTTAGTTCATATATATACATTAAAATATAGTTCATATATATACACAGAATTGCTCCATTCACGGAAACATTTGACGGAATATTTCATCATGACTTGGCCCCTTGTCACAACTCGAAATTAGTCCAGACTTTTGTGCGCGAAAATAAAGTAAGGCTTAAGTGCTTGACTAGCTTGGTAATGCACCAGACCTAAATTCCATCGAGAACTTATGGCATATTCTCAAAGAAAGTTTAGCTAAGATGAATTGCACCACAAAAGAAAAATAATAACCAGCGCTATACAAGCGTGGTTCCACGATGATAAACTCAAGAACATGTGCGCTAAATTAGTAGAGTCAATGCCAAGACGTGTTGGCGAGGTCATTTCTGCTAAAGGAGAACATACTTCGTACTAATCTTAGACCATAAAAACTGATAGACACGCCTTGTACCGAACCGTTGAAGCAAAGACCTTCCGCGAAAGTGACGTCACAATGCGGCAAGAGCCCGCTTAGATTCTTAGTAAAGCACTAATATAATTACCAAATTTTAGAATAATTTTAATATAACTTCAATATTTTGTAAAAAATATGGAAGATAAATTATTTAGCAAAGTAATTAATAAATATTTTTGCCTTAAATTGTAAAAATAAATGTTTTATTTGGAAGTATATACCTACATATATTATTATATATATCGATGGTATATCACTTCTTGTTTGATATTCAGAAATAAATTTAAAGGAGAATAATTTTCTTTTGGGTGGAAGTTTCAAGTTAGGTAAAAAAATTAGTAGTAAATCTATTTATTTATTGACCACAAAACAAAATAGCTTTTGTTAACTTACTTCTAACTCTTATTACATTATTTAGTTTTTCACCTTCGTGGTATAATCTAATGTTGCAATAATTGAAACAAATTATCTTTATTAGATTAAAAAATGGTTTGTTTCAAATTCATGATTAAACATATGTTCTTTGTATGCGTTAAACACAGAACCATGCACGTTACACATGACATTTAAGATCAATTTTGTCATTATTTTGGAATCGTTTTAATTTTTTTGAATTGTATTTACAGTATAATCCTGATCCTGGTTACTAGTTATTGTTTCCCTATTATTTTCATCAGTTATAAAGTTGTCAATGAGTTGATGATCAACAGTTTTCTTTTTCACAGTATTTGTTGTGCTCATTGCTAATATTATGAAAGGTGCCTGTTCTATACAATTAACCTGGGTAGATTCTGTAACACTTGTGTGCATTAACAGTCTTTTATATGCAGCTTTAAATTGTTTTGCCATTGGGTTGTTGTTGTAACCTCCATGACTCCTAATAGAACTAAAGAAAACTTCTAAGTGATCTTGAGAAAGTTTATAGGCCGAAAGATACTTCAGACCTCCATCCATATCCTCCACGTAATTTTTCCAAATTCCCATTAGTGATTTTAAACTAATGATCATACCAATAAAACCCGTCTTTGTTTAGCTTAGATATAGGGGTTCATCATTTTTGGAACACTTAAGATGTTCTAATAAAGATTTTAAGGCATTTACTTTTTTAATAAGCCTTCTATTTCGTTGTTGCAACATTTTGATATGTTTGTTTTTTTTTTAATTAATTTGGTTACTACTACTTTATACCCCTGTTAGATGATCCTTGTTCAAAGTCACCAAGATAATGTCTTCGCTTTTTCAAGAGAGGTTCTAGGGTAGTTTCGTCTGAAATTTCTGCTGGAGTCTTTATGGTGGTAGATTTACTCGTTATATTTATATTTTCCCTTTTAGATCCTATTGGTTTGACTGAAACAGTTTCTCTTTTTTTTTGTAAATTTTCTAGTTGTAACTTGCTTATTTAAATGGTTTGGAAAATCGAAAATGCTAGGTACAGCATCTTTTTTTAGTTGTTTTTTTGAACTCCAACCGGTAGTAATATACGAATCCGCTGTGAAATGTTTGGACCAAATTTAGAACTCTTTGTTGGTTTAAAATTTTCACGGCGCATCGCTATAATCCATTTTTTTGCAATTATGAATCTTTAGGAAATCTAAAACAATTTATTTACTTAACCCTTTAGTTTTCAATCTAATTATAAAATGAAAATTATATATGACTCTCTATCTTATATGTATCTATTTTAAACACTTTGGGAGGAAAAAGTAAAATAATAGGTGCTAAATTTCTGGTATGTTTTAAAAGTTTAATTTGTGAATTTACTTACCCATGAAATGATATATATGTCCCTTTTTTTGTCGCTGCGTACAATTAAATGCACTGCAAGATGCCACCATAATTAAAATATTAGTGTATTGGAAAATTTTTAAATTGAAACACTTTAAAAAGTTTACAACGCGTATAAACACTTCTAATCTCTACCGTTTCTGCCGCAAACTGACGTCACCCACAGCTGTGTAAATCGTTTTATGTTGGCTTCACTCCTCGAGACGAGAGAATAGCATTACAGCGCGTCTATCAGCTTTTATGGTCTAAGGTACTAATATATAGATTTTTCAGTCTACTTATGGTATGTAATAATTAAAAGTTATTGCTTTAGAAAACAATTGTTTTTTTTTTGTCATTTTGTCCCAGTTAATTTCAGTATAGTGCTTCAAAACAGATGTGTCGATAGCCTGAACAAGATACTTCATCTGACCGAGAACAAGATGGTGAAGGAATGAAGGCAATATTAAAATCAGCGTGGACACACAATAAATTGTAACCAGAATATTGGGAAAGATGACTAATCTAGCGGAATAAAACGCGAAAGGGTAGGCAATAACCAAAAGAGATTGAACGGCGACGATGATGATAATAATGTTAGTCCTCCTTCAATGTCGGGTCAAAATATGAAAATAAACTAACGTAATTTTAGACATGATTTCGTAAAAAATCATCGATAATTTTGATGCGCTTGTACAATTACTTCATGAATATTTTTGAAATACATTATAATGAAAAGAAAACTATATAATGTAGATATAGTGTAAAACGATGATAAAAAAGAATACGAAAACTTCTTGGATCGATGAACTAGCAAAGATCATTTAGATATTTTCTTATCACTAGCTTACGTTTCTTTTTGTATATATTATCTTACCATTTTCCGGCGTAACTATTCCATGTCTAATGAGAAAATCCAAAGCTACTGGCGCGCTGGTCGTTTTGAAATCGGCAGTTAGGATTTTTTCCAGGCACTGATTGGCTGTCAGTAGTTCGAAAGTCTCTACTTCTCCATCTGCATTTACTGGCACAAAGTCTACTGGTAACTCTAAATCGAAGATGAACTCCGTATTCGGGAAAAGACCACGGTCTGATTCGAAGAAAAATCTAAAACATTTAATAAATTGTACAGCGGCAGTGTACAGTCTGTCAAAGATATTTTCTAAATCACATATAACTAAAATTAACAAATTTTTGAACTAAGGTACCTGTTCATAGTTTTTGATGAGATTCAGAGACCGCCGCCATTTTTTAAGATAGTAATAAATGGGATCACATGAAAAATAATAAAAAATTTAAAAGACTTTTTCAACACAAAAATATCAAAATAGTATTATATTTGAGTAAACAGTTGTCGCAACATATTTCTGAATCATCAAAACTGAAATGAATAAATTTTTTGGACAACTGAAGTTTATGGGGTTTACAACACAAATATGGGGGTTTTAAATTTTAAATAAGCGCTTGCTATCTTTAATTTTAAATAAAACAAAAATGTGTGTTCATCAAAGGTTTCATCGAAATTTTTTATTCATATGAAAGGACTATCAATGCCGATGCTCAGATTCAAATCCGCCGCTGCTTCGCTGGGTCGCACGCATTCTAAATGTTCACTTTTCCATGACTCTGGCGCCTAGATCAGGTTAAATTTGACATCAGGGTATGTTTGCTTTGAAGGCCGCAGTAGTTTGTGGCTTATTCGCATAGAAGTGCGACTTCAAAAAAGACACAAGAAATAGTTTCTTCTTCCTCTTTTTTTTATATAGACATGACTCTGTCTGTTTTCAATGTTCCTTCAGTAAGTTTTCATTCCATCGTTTTCGTGGTCTTCCTACTGATCGTCTTCCTATTGGGGAACCGTCTCTTGTCGTCTTTCCTACTCTATTTTTTTGCCATTCGGCTTATATGATCGTTCCATTTTACTCTTCTATTTCTTACCCAGTTTTTGCTGTTCTCCACCTTGAATCTATGTCGTATATCTGTACTTCTAGCTCTGTCCCATAGTGCCCTACCATCAATGTTTTTAAGTGTTTTCATCTCTGCTGTTTCTAACATCCTTTTTGTCCTCTCTGTGTCAGGTCTTGTTTTGTAAATTCTGCCTTTCGTTCGTTTCTTTCCCGATATTTTTATTTCTCCATATTGTTTCATTTAGGCAGCCTGTGACTCTGTTTGCTCTATTCACTTGATCTTCCACTTCGGTTTCGAGCTTTCCGTAGCTAGATAATGTGATGCCTAGATATTTAAACTCCATCACTTGTTCTATTATCTGACCTTCCAGCTCCAATTTACATCTTAGTAAATTTGCTGTTGTAACCATGCATTTTGTCTTTTTTGGGGAAATTAACATGTTAAATTTTCTGGCGGTTATATTAAATTGGTGCAGCATACGTTGTAAATTATCTTCACTTTAAAAGAGTAGTATTGCATCGTCTGCATAGCAGATTATTTTAAGTTGTTTTTCTCCCATTTGATATCCTTTTTTAGTTTACTTTTTTATTATTTCATCCATAATCAGGTTGAACAATAGAGGACTTAAGGAATCTTCCCGTCTTATCCCATTGCCAGCTTCAGTAGGGTCGGTTAGTTCTACTTCTACTTTTACTTTTATTGTGTTGTATTGGTAGATATTTTCGATCGTTTTGATTTTTCCTAGAAATATCTCTCTTGCATACAGTAAGTAGATAACGTCTTTTAATTTGACCCGGTCAAATACCTTTGTAAGGTCCACGAAACGTAGATAGAACAAAATAAGAAATAGTTTAATGGGATCAAATATCTACGTGAGTTGACCATACTTTCAAATCGATCGAGCACAATGTCCAATGTAGTACGAGCTTTGAAGCACGTAACCACATCCTGTTAAACAAACCACATGTCGTTGGTGTCCATATCATCCAATTCAGGCAAATTCGACAGTCCCAATTTTGATAATCAGATAAATCATCTAGCATAATTTAACACTTTCCTTTTTTCTTCGTCTCTTGTAGTGCACATATGTCTATATTTTTTTCTACAAGCTCTTTTGTAACTTCCTTACGTTCCAAGTACCGATGCGAAGTATATTTCTCGTTTTCCATAAATTCGTTATCTTCTTTCTCGCATTAGTCGTCGTAATGAAATAATTCCTGTTCCGAAGCATAATCCTGTTTCTATGAACTGTATAGTTTTAAAGTCTATCAGTAGGGTGCTAACCTGGCTGTAGACCCCTCCTCCTTTATCCAGGCTTGGGGCCGGCAACAGTTCTGTCGAGCTACTCGATCCACCCAACAAAACTGCAGGCGGAGTTGTACTAAATATAAATATACATATTACACATTAAAAAAATTTACCAATATTTTTCACATTTACCAAGTAAAGATTGTTAAAACTGACTAAAGCTTAGATCGCACTGGGTCGGGACGGCACGGTACGCACGAAATATTTCAAAAACCATTAAATTGATTTCCCTTGTGATGCGCGCACTTGGACGTCACGGTCGGAACAGGATGATCCGCACTCTCCGCTATTATCGAAAAGAATTCCGAAAGAAAGATTTTTAGGACATCCTGGCACGACGTACCGATGACTCATCAGCTGTTCTGGAAGAACGCGCAGTGATTGGTACGGATTCTGCCGTTTCAGTTAAATTGTTTAAGTGATTGATAATGGTGGATGTCTGTAAACTAATTATGTTGGTCCAAAACAACCTTAAATTTTATAATTTCTTTCATCCGGAATAGTTTCCTAATACGAGCGCGGTTGCTACCGTCCGCCCGCCCTATACTGACCGAATCAGTTAGCGCAGACCCCTAAAAATATACCGACCGTACTGTACCCAGTGCGCACTTAGCTTAACACCGTCAAAGCCATAGCAATCTTGGGAAACATAAAACAATTCAATTGTGTAATTTGGAATGCTACTAAAAAATTTGAACTTGAAGGTAAATCACTATATGACCCTGATTCCACTTCTTACTATACTTAAGAGAAGGATCCTTCTCAATGTTCATGAAGATTTTTTGAGTGAAAGTTTCATGTCTTCCGTGAACTTTTCAATAAATGTAATGTAAAGAAAGATGTATTTCTAAAATAAATTAGAAAGCTTCATAAATTTCGAAAATAATAGAAATGAAGAGAAATTAATCGAACTAAAGAAAGCAAGAGCAGTAGCAAAACGAATAACAAACATGACTAATAGATAGTCATGGATCAAACATTCCATGCCTATGTATCCAGGACTTAAAAAATGAGAAGCATTTTTTTGTACCCGTCAGTCTCGGAAAGTAGGAACTAGTACAAAAAGAGAGCTGGGTTTATCTGACGTAGTCTGAAATTATTTCTTCCTGGCATTTAGTCTGCAACTGCAGCAGATAATATCAAAGGCAACGCTGCAATAGTTTATCTGCCCTATGTATAGCCTGAGAGTGCTCTACAGGATCTCTCGGCTGGTCCGAATCGGTGCTGGAATGATCGGTGCGTCTGAGAACAGGTTTTTATTTTTCGTAGCACTAAAATCCACATCTTGTTTAACGCTCAGATCCAGACATGCCAATTTCGGGGATTGTTTTTTCCAATATTTTTGTATATACGCCAAAGATCCAGGAAAACCTTTCACTGCTTGAGAAACTTATCGTGTTCATTGTAATGGTTCAGAGTAGATTGGACCAACAAAACTCAGTGTAAATAGTCGTTTCAGTGAAAACATCATAAACTATAGCCTTCCTTACTGCCAGAAATCGACAGTTGCAGAACACAGATATACATGTGCTCAGTAAAAGAGGGTCTGCATCTAAACAGGACGTGGATCAACATTAAGAAATACCGTCTTCAGATGCACCGAAAATTTCAATACTAATTCGTACTAACTCGAAGGCTAGAAATATCTATAGATAACTATAACGATAACCTTTTACAAAACATAGGCAGTAAAAGCCTACATTCATTGAAAATACACATCTCTGGGACAAGAGATTTATAAAATAAAAATCTGGAATATGAATTGACAAACGAAATATTCAGAACTAGAGGATATGAAACCAACGTGTAACTTTACTAATTGTTTGTTAAAAACAGCCACTTGATTATTACATATAAACTAGGTGCTGTTATTTAGTGCTAATTAAAAATGAACTTACGAAACACAGCCAGCACTAATTAAATTCTTTAACAATTCTACCGGTACAGAGGCCTCTTCCATTGCCTCTTTATGTGCAGTCTCCAAAATACCATGTCCTACAGATAAACCACCTCCAACCATATTGTCCCATTTCCCTTAAAAATATTAAAACATAAAATAACATTTCAAAGTTATCCATTTTATATTATTTGTTTATACTCTCGATTAATTAAAGTTATTTTGACTTTACAAAGCAAACTCTAATATATGTACCATCTCCATAGAAGTTTTTTTACATCTTTATTAAGGGCTCTATACCGCTGTTAGTTTAAGAATTCTGAACAATAACTTCCGAGTATGTTCAACGTCGTATATTTCTAAGTCGAGTAGGTGATACGACTATGGAACCCACAGCATGTTTCCTCCTAAACGCGATGACGGGTCGCATAATTTTTGGATATTAAAAATTTAGTTGTAGGTGCCGACACCGAAAACAAGTTAAACTCGTGCGTTCGCTCTTGATTTGCTAGTATCTTAGCCGCTGAAAACTATGTACATTGTACAGTCCACATGACACGACACGACGTTTCATGTACAATAGACTGTAATAGTATTTTTCTACTTTCTTACCAGTAAATTGTATATTACCTACTATTTGGATGCTAAGTAAATGCATCATAACAGATACTGACACGTAATGACTAGCACGTAATAAAAAAAATTACGCTTCAGTTTTATAAAAATGTGTAATATCACATAAGCCTCGTAAGTCAGTTGGTCGAGTTACCATGGAAACGAATAAACAGACGTTATTTTGACAGATTAAAAATTATTAATCTGTCAGTGTAAATATAGTGGTAATTTAATTTGTATTTTTATAAACGAAAATAATGGTAGAAAAAGTATAGTACACAACTTGAGTTGTAAGCTTATTACATGCTTGTAAAATTACTGCGCTCGCCGCTACGCGGCTCGCGCGCAACTTTTTTACTCGCATGTAATAAGCTTCTTACAACTCTCGTTATGTAATATACTATTGTTTGCAAATATCATCGAGTTAGAATCTATGGAGAGGGAATCACGTGACTAAAAACGACCTCACTTCGGCCATATTGTTAAGATTGTTTTGACACTTTTGGCAGATCGTATATGTTTGTTTATATTTGTTGTTTTTCGAATATTTTTAGTTTTATAATACTTTTATAGAAACTGTAATAATATATTGTGATAGTGCATAATAAAGCAAAGTAATGGCCCGTACTTCAGAGAATAAATTAATAGCATTTGACCGTATTAATTTATCTTTATGTATAATATATCATGTTTTTAGTGATTACCGTGGGATAAATAAATAAAAGTTTATAAAAAATGTATTGCACTTTTTTAGATTATGATTAAATCTTCTAAATAACTAGTCATATTTGTATAGTAGTTTTAATATTATTGAGTCTGGCCCTGTTCCCACCGCCATATTGGTATCATCGTTAGCGACGTCTACCTACGCCGTTTTTAATACATACGTTAATATGCTCATAGCTTCTCCATAGATTCTAACTCGATTTCAAATATGCGTATCTTTATCTTTTCTAATTTAATGTTTAGTGATCCATTTAGTAAGGGGCTAACAAATGCATTTTAACTGTTTAATTGCGATTAATAATCAAATTTTGTTCATCATCCTCGTCAGTTGTGGCGCAAAAGTATATGGTATTTACAGTATTTATTTTGAGTAACGTACGCCCACATATAGTGTACAATCTAACTAAGTTACAACGGGAGATTGTATTCATAGTTCAAAGACCTTATGTAATATGCGCAACTTATGTTCAGATATATATTTATCCAAATAAAAAGTTTATCTACCGTAATTTGCAGTGTCTTTTTTTTTGTTTATATTTAATCTGCAAATATTTCTGGTATTTATAATGCCAGAAATCTGGTATTTATAACAGAATAAATCTATTAAGTAAGATTTTTATGTTATTGAACATTTAAGGTCATTATAAAAGCAAGATGTCATTTAAAATGACAGTCTAACTATTAAACATTGAACCACGATATCTGGTAAACGTTCAAAAGTGATTATTTTAATTGATACTGTTTTAAAAAAGTTAGCTAATATTGTTTCCAAAATAATTTCTTTATTCTGGAATGGGCAAGTAAATAGAGAATGAATATAGACGTTTTCATCTTTCTTGGCGTGTGCGTGTAAAAACACTTGCAATAAGTTATTTCATCTGTCTTTCCTTGTCTAAGCTCGATTCGTTTACCTCCTCCAGTGGCAGCTATCTGTATTCGTAAAGAGGCCGAACTTATCACCGACACCGTATCGACCAAAGGCATCGGTGTTATTGCTACAATACTGGGAGACGTGAGTGGTCTCTACATTCCCTTCTCATCGCACTTTACCATGACAAACGTGACTCGCACAATTGAATTACGCATCGTGTACCAGAGAGAGACGAATATTAAAAATTCCGTAGTAGCTTATTTCAGGCACACGCCAAGAACGATGAAACCGAGTTTAGAAATATATACGTATAAAATTTTTTAGGGTGGTACCTAAGTGGTATTTTTTGTCAGGAACTGCTCACTCGTAAAATTGGAAGATATCCCAAAACAGTCACCTTAAATTACCTGTCACAATATAAGTCACAATTATGTTTATTTTACTCATGACAGATTTTGGAACGTATAAAAAATACTCTACACAGACTGTAAGTAGATTGCACATTATACAAAAATTTAAAACTTTAGGTAACTACAACGACTATTAAGAATTTAATTACTTTAATTTAATTAATTAACTTAAAGATATTACAATTATTAGTTTAACATTATTGATAAATACCTGGCCATGTTTGTTTCGTTGACGATCGTTTTTGAAACCAAAGACAAAGACCTGAAAAATAAATTATAAAAAGTTAGTTTTCTTAGCTACAGTCACAAAAATATATAATGAGTTTACTGTATTACCACAGAATACACCACCCAATAAGAAGCAAAACGAAGGACTTTTTCGCAATCCAAATTTCTGTAAGAATCCGGTATATTCTAAATAGTTTATCTGTCAATCTATAAAAATTGAAGTTTTTTACGTATTGAAAAGTGTTGTTTCGTGTATGTTGTTTAATAGAAAAAGAGAATAATACTATTATACATATTTGTGTATATACATACATATAAACATATTTTAATACCTTAAAAAAGTATAATAATATAAAAAAAAAAGTATAATATAATAGTAAAAAAAGAATAATTATTCTGTTGTTATACATATTTTGTATATACATACCCAACTACTTTAAAAAATCGATTAAAAGTAATAGAAATCGACTGCTTCTCATCTCTATTTTGAAATTAACTCTCAAATTCAATCGCTTTTTATCGGTTTTTTAATATACTAAAATACTTTTAGTACGTTAGTTTGTTTGTTAAAAAAAATAAATCGAAATTTTTGACTTAAGACCTTTTTACTTATCAGTACAGAATTGATATATTAATTTATTATATTAAATTTTGCAGAAAAAAATACAAATCATACAAAACTGGTCAGTATAAATAAGTATAATATTAGTTTTAATAATTACTTTGTTTCTTAGTGTAACCCTAACTAAACTACTGTTTTGAACGACATCCTCATTACTTTTCTTAGTATACTAAGTACTTTAACCATCGAGCAAAAAGACAATAGAGGGAATGTAAAGGTAGTGGGGGCAAACATATTGTTAGACAGGAAGTGCGATCTTTAGAGGCCACATTAAACAAGGAAAGAGAGTCTCTCTCCTTGTTTGAACATCAAATTTAGTTGGGTTATGTTATTGTTTGTCCCAAATGTCACATGAAATCTTATTTATATTGAAGTTTTTTAACAATTGTGTCGCATTTTAGACTCTTATCATTAATAATTAATTAAAACTTTCTCGTCTAAGACACATTCTGAAAAATATTATATTCGCTCCGTGCGTGACTGATGCGACACCTACCGCCTTCATCTGACAATTTGGGAATCCCAATTTTCAGGTTAAACTTATGACATATGTTTGACATTGTTAAATACATGCGAAATTGACAATTATTAATAAATTAGTTTTTTAGCTATATTTTAAAGTTTATGTACAAAATAAATGTAGTATTAAAAACTGGGTTTCTCAAAATTCATCATAATATACCTTTTCAACTCCAAACGGAAAAGAAAGGGAAAATCTAGTACTGGCAAATCAAGTTTTTCACGCAAAAGAGCATATAATTAAAAACAATAATAGTAAAAGTTAGGATATAAAAGCTAAAGTCATCTGCAGTTAGCTTGTAGCCTTATGAAATATCATTCAAGGTAAATTATTTAAATTTTTTCTATTTCAATTGCATAAAAATGAAACTATGTGATATTTACTTTTTCATATTAATAGCACGAATTCATCTTTTTCTTTTTTCTAATTTATATGTAATTTTTGGGAACCTATGAAAACTACAATCACCATTTTTGCTATTATTAGCTCAATTAAATACGCAACGTGTATTTGCACGCATTTTTGATAAAATTTATGCGTAAAAATATTTTGTCCAATATTCCCATTTTGTCATATTTCGCCGCTACGCACGCTGGCATCGTTTCAATGTATCCCTACCATGGTCACGCACGAAGCGAATAGCTACTGTTGATAAGTGTCGGAAAATTTAAATTTGGCGCATTCGCATTTCCGGATATGTCCGCCATCAGAGGCCACTTTTTTGGTCTCCTTTTCATAGGGATTAGATTCCCTCTATTGTCTTATTGCTCGATGACTTTAACTGACATTCCCCCTCCGAAATTTCTGTCATACGAACATCAAAGGTACCTACAAAGTTTTCGCTTCTAGTTGGGTGGTGTATGGACCGCAGGAGTGTGACGTCACGACTGTCACATTGTCATTATTACTTTCCAAACAAAAGGTGAAATGTCAAATCTCAAGACTTTTTAATATCGATAAAGTTAACATTTTGCTTCCTCTGCTGCTTTTTCTTGTAAGCATACTATGAAATATAGTTTAAAAGTTTAAATTAATAAAATACTAACCTTACTTTATTGATACATGCATTGTATAGCTATTAGCATAAAACAATGTGCTTTATTATTTACACAACCTTGTAAAATTGTTGTAGTAACTATTAGAATACTTAAATATAAACGGAAGTAAAACCGGAAGTAACTTTTTTTTGCACATTTTAGATTGTAAAATGCCACGTTTAAGAAAAAGAACTCGGTTTGAGAACTCGCGGCCCCGTCCATATGCTCTGGAACACCGTGAAAGAAACCATAATTTTCAAAACTAAATCCGGAAGTAGTGAAGTAAATACTTCCGGTTTCATAATTCTGAATTCAATCAGTAAGTATAAGAAAAAAGTAGACGCGGTCATATTTTAAAAATACATTGAAAATTAGGATTGTAAATTTTGAAGAATGAAACCTGTAAAATTCCTATACTTTACTATAGGAAAAATTCATTTTATGGCCGCCGTTTTTAAACCGGTTCGAATTTTTTTAATTTGAAACCTTAGGGGGAATCTATTCAACAATCTGTTTAATTATTCGAAAAAATTATTGTCCTATCTATCACCGTCTAGGAGGAGTATTGCGCACAACAAAAATTGCTTAGCCTTTTAGTATCTAACATTTTGCACCTCTTGGTGTGAGTATAAGCAGTATAATATTCATATTGAAAATTATACAGTTTAAATTTATGGATAAGCAAATTTTGATATTAATTACTTCATTATAACAGTTATCTGTACTTTGACTATTTAATGAACAAGCAAGTATAATGTGTGTTAAATCCCCAAGTTCTCCATATAAACATGAGGAATCATCAATTAAACCAATTTTACATTTATAGGTTGGTGGCATTGCATGGTTTGTTCTTATTCTGGTTATAGTATCAATCAAGTTCCTGCTGTTTTGGTTGCGTAACCATCTTAGTATTGGGACAACGCTTAGCGTCTATATTCTTTGGTTGGGATTTGGACTTGTCATGATTTAGTGATATTACGTATACAGTATGTCAATTTTAAAACTTACAATGAGCTATATCTCACGAACAAAAGCTGATATCGAAAAATACTTGAAACAGTTTCTAGGATAGTAAGGGGGAACTAAAATGACATGAAAGAGAAGTCACCCTCATCAATTCCGTAAATCCCTCTCACCACAACCAAAAAAAGTTTAAAATGCAAACCCCTACGTGTGATATATAATTGAAAAGGCTATAAAAAATGCTATCCAATGGTATAGATGATAATTATACAGGGTGAAGCAATAATTGTGAAACTTTGGCTTAAATGGAAAATTTAATGAGGTTTTTGTTGATTCTGTTGATGACCCTGTATAATTATTGTTTTTATAAGCCTTACTATGACTTCTGTATTTGTAATGCTATCTCCCGGACAATTATTTTTAATGATAAGCGCCCATCGGAATTTTTTTTTGTTAAATAAAAATTTAATTTGCATTTTTTGCAAAACAAGTTGAAAACATGTTTTTTGGGTTCTGTCAGATTCAATAATTTTTGTTTTATTTGAGAATTTTAAATGTCATTAGTTTTCATCACTTGTAAGATCTATAGTGTCATTCAGCTGTAGTTGTCACAACGGTTTACAGTATACCTGAACGCGAGGAGATTATTTTTATATTTGCCTCCCAGAACCAGTGTTAATTACGAACAACTCAAATATTTCATGAAAGGCATTAGGACAACAATGTAAGTCACGTGTACGTCCGAGATTTAGTTGAAAAGTTTAGATAATCGGGATCAGTGCAAAATAAAAAAAAGGATGCTCCAAGATTACTGAATGAAGCATCCCAAATTGAGGTCATTTTTGAGAGAATTTTGCAATAGAGCCTACTGCATCAACATGTCAAATATCTGCAATAATAGAACTTTCACATGACTCAGTTAGAAAATTGTTGAAATTACATAAGTTTCACCCGTACAAAACACAAATTCTTCAACAACTAGGCGATAATGATTCAGATCTACGAATTGAGTTTTGTGAAGTCATGACTGAAATAATTTGCGTTGAAATGGAATGTTAAAAAATATTTGTTTCACTAATGAATGCACTTTTATGCTGAATGGTAATGTAAATAAATAAAACTGTCGGTACTGGAGTGATGCGAACACGCATCGGTTCAGATTCAGAGAAGGTCACACTCAATATCCTGAAAAACTGAATGTTTGGACAGGAATATTAGGCGATGCTATAATGGTCCCTTGTTAATACCAGGCAATTTAAGTGGCGACATTTATCTCGATATGCTGGAAAACACCATCGAACCTTTAATTGTGCATGAATTAGAGAATAAAAGGGACGATCAAGGCAACCTAGCTCTAGACGAAGATTTGCTGCACTTCCAACAAGATGGAGCACCTCCTCACGCATCTCCAGTTAGGCACTGGTTGGATACTAATTATCCAAACAAATTGATTGGAAGGAGAGGTCCTATTGAGTGCCCACCGAGGTCACCAGACTTACCACCACCTGATTTTTTTCTATGGGATTACCTCAAGGCAGTTGTTTATAAAACTCAACCTGCGTCACTTGGGGAATTGCGAGAAAGAATTACACAAGCATGTCGCGCTATTACTAGAACAACATGTGAAAAAGTTCGTACAGAATTTAAAATAGGCTGTACTATTGTTTACAAAACCACGGAACCCACTTTGAACATTTACTTAATTGACATTTTTAACAAATTTGTAGTTCAACAAAAACCTCATTAAATTTTCCATTTCAGCCAAATCACAAGTAAGGGTTTGCACTTTAAACTTTTTTGGTTGTGGGGGGTAAATACTGGATCGAATCAGCAATTCTGCTTTAAGAAATTTTTCATTCACAGGATTAGAAACTACGTTTGTACTATTTGCT